GGCGCTGACCATGGAGCGGGCTGCGGAGGAGGCGCCTGCGCCCGGCTGCTTCTCCCTCTCTAGCGAGCTTGCTGCCTCAGCCTCCGCCCTGCTGGCCGCCGCTGCTGCCGCCGCACCCCGGCACCTCGGAGCCTCACGGACCCAAGATGGCCGCTCCTCAGCTTCCTCTGCTGCCTCCGGATGCCGGAAGTGACGACAGGCCGCCTCCCGGAGTCCCGCCAATCAGCGTGGCCTGAGAAAGCCGGCCCGGCTGTTGTTGCTAGGGGCGACTTGGTCCAGACCCCGCCGCGGGGGCGGTGAAGAGGGCGGGGAAGCGCTGGCCGGTCTCCACTGACTACCGCGGGCGGCGGGTTCCTCCTGTACGGAGCGCTCCGGCAACCCCGAAAGAGCCGAGAAACGGCCCTGGGCGACAGCCAGAGCCCTCCCGCTGAGCTGGCATTTACAGACTACAGGCCTGGGTTGGCTGGATTACAGATCGAGAGCCTACTGTGCACAAAAGTTGCGGTTGCATCCTTGGGACTGCGCTGCACCGACTGGAGCCCCAGCATTAATGACAGGGCCGGGGCTACGGGAAGGAGCCGGGCTCTTGCATCCTTAACTGTGACCAGGGCGTCAGGCTGTCGCCCACAAACCTTCCCGTCTCCGGATCTGAACAGCTGCGGGCTGGGCGCGGACTCCGAGGGCAGCAGGAGCCTCTTGCCCTCAAGGAGCTGGTGGTCAGGCGGGTGACAGACCTGGACCCAGCTAAATGCCATCCGGATGGAAGAGTGCAATAACGAGGGTGGCACAAAGGGGATGGAGTCGGGGGCGAAATGAATCTGTAGAGGCCCCCAGGGACCAGTTCCTAAATGCCTGTAGGGAATTTATAAGCAGACTTTTCTTACAGTCAGTGCGTCGCTGCTGGAAGACTGGAAGCATCTTTGGGTGCCAGCCTCGGGCCAGACTCGGTAGACGCCTGCAGGCGGGAACCCTGGAAATGCTACCTGACCTAGAAACCTTCCTTGCCCGTTCACCTCTTCACGTGTTCGGTGCCTCTACTCAGCTCCTGGCCAGCGGTGGATGGAATCCATGGGTGCAGGGTCCGAAGAGGGAGAGTAGTGTGGGATGGGGGTGACACTAACTGTTACCGAGAGTCGAGTCTACCTTGTAGGTTCATGACATTTGTTACCTCATTTAGCTTCAGGGGAACCCTGTGAGATGGACAGACACACATGCGATCCGAAGTCTAGACAGGTACAGTGACTTAGCTAAAGTACACAGGTTAGTTAGCGACAGAGCTGGGATTCTAACCTAGTTCCCAAAGCTTGGATAATAGGTAAGCCCTTGTAGTGGGTGGCTATGTCATGCTTGCTTCCCCTTTGATCCGTTGGCATCCCAAATGTCTTGCGATGTTTGAGACCTTCTTGCTCCAGGAAATATATGTATCTTTTTTTTTTTTTTTTTTTTTTTGAGACGGAGTCTCGCTCTGTTGCCCAGGCTGGAGTGCAGTGGCGTGATCTCGGCTCACTGCAAGCTCCGCCTCCCGGGCTCACGCCATTCTTCTGCCTCAGCCTCCAGAGTAGCTGGGACTATAGGCGCCCATCACCACGCCCGGCTAATTTTTTTGTATTTTTAGTAGAGACGGGGTTTCACCGTGTTAGCCAGGATGGTCTTGATCTCTTGACCTCGTGATCCGCCCGTCTCGGCCTCCCAAACTGCTGGGATTACAGGCGTGAGCCACTGTGCCCAGCCAAATATATGTATCTTTAAACGCCAGATTCACTCCCAGAGGGGCCAGAGGCTCCCAAAGTTAAAACACCTGAGGACTAAGATAACACTCAGGGCTCCCATCTAACCCTCAGAGGGGAGTGCCCAGGGGGCCAAGAGTGGTTCTATTTAAAATGTGAATAGGGGCCAGGCGCAGTGGTTCACACCTGTAATCCTAACACTTTGGGAGGCCGAGGTGGGTGGATTGCCTGAGCTCAGGAGTTTGAGACCAGCCTGGCCAACATGGTGAAACCCCATCTCTGCTAAAATACAAAAAATTAGCCAAGCATGGTGGTGTGTGCCTGTAGTCCCAGCTACTCAGGAGGCTGAGGCGAGAGAATCTCTTGAACCTGGGAGGCAGAGTTGAAGTGAGCCAAGATCACCCCACTGCACTCCAGCCTGAGCAACAGAGCAAGACTGCGTCTCAAAAAAAACAAAAGAAAAGAAAACAAAATGTGAATAGGGAGATGGCATGCACATCTGTAATCCCAGCTACTTGGGAGTCTGAGGTGGGAGGTCACTTGAGCCCAGGAGTTGGAGACCAGCCTGGGCAACAGAGTGAGACCTTGTCTCTACAAAAACTTAAAAAAAAAAAAAAAAAAATGGCAGAAGGGCGATGCCCACTGCACTCCTTCCTGGGACACAGACAAGAACGTGCCTCAAAAAAAAAAATAAATAAATAAAGTTATTCTCTTTCTCCTTCTGGCCAAGAAGAGTTAGTGGAATTCCATTAGTTAAATGTGTGCTTCACGCACTTCAACTGCAATGTCAGTTATGATAAGAAGGGGTGAGCGTAAGTGTTGTGGGAGACCCAAGCAGGGACATTTAGCTCAACTTGGGGGTTTGTATTAAGGGAAGGCTTCCTAGAGGAGAGGATGTTTATGCTGAGTCTAAAAGCATGAGCAGAGTTAGCTGTGGGAGGATGGGTAGAAAGGACAGTTCAAGCAGAAGAATGGCCTGACGAGCACCGCAATGAGAAGCCACACGGTGGGTCTGGGTAAATAGCAGGAGAGTGAGCGGTGAGAAGCGAGACTGCAGGAGAAGGCCGGAACCAGGACGGGTTTGGACAGAGCATGACACCTGATTCTGCATCCCATCCTGATGAGAGTTGGGAAAACACCCCAGAAAGGGTTTCAGCCTCAGGCAGAAGCTGCGAGAAAGCGTATGGGAAGTTCAGAACAGTTCACATTGGCCAGAGAAGTAGCTGGGGGAGGAGGTTTCCACCCGGGTGCTTTTCTCACCCAAGCCACATATGAAATAATGAGTCAGCAAATGCCAAAAGTTAGGAAATGAAGATAATAGTACTTAACTCAAGATGCTTTTGGTTTTTGTAAAAGCTAGAATTAAACGCCTTGAACTTTGCCTTGCACTTATGTTAAATGACATCATGACACTGTGAAGAGTGGGAGATGGGTGTGTGTGCGTTTCTTTTTTCTTCTTTCTTTCTTTCTTTCTCTCTTTCTTTCTTTCCCTGCCTGCCTGCCTCTCTCTCTCTCTCTCTTCCTTGCCTCCATCCCTCTCTCCCTGCCTCCCTCCCTTCCTTCCTCTCTCTCTTTTTCCCCTTCCTTCCTTCCTTTGTTGTTGCTTGAGCCAGACAGGGTCTTGCTCTATTGCCCAGGCTGGGGCACAGTGGTGTGATCATAGCTCTCTGCAGCCTTGAACTCCGGGGCTCAAGTGATCCTTTGCCTCCGCCTCCTGAATAGCTAGGACTACAGGTACGCACCACCACACCGAGATAATTTATTTGTAGAGATCAAGTCTTGCCCAGACTGAACTCCCAGCCTCAAGCAACCCTCCCATCTCTGCCTCCCAAGGTGCTGGGATTACAGGTGTGATCCACTGCGCCCAGTCACCTGGGTGTGTGAATTACAAGCAAAAAAGAAAACGAGAGGAAGAGAAGAAAGAGTAAAGTATTGTTCTGTCCAAAGGACTCTTTGTGGTCCAGAATTATGTGCATCTATGGTCTGGAAGGAGTAGAGAGGAGGGTTTGGAAGTTGTCCTTGGAATGCCTTCTTCAATCCCTTTTCATATTTCTTGTTTCCTGTCTTCATATTAAAATAGTTTCTACCTTGGGGCCCCAAGCTGAAAAGATATAACTAAATTTACTAAGGTGTATATGTGCATAAGCAATACTTACTTTCATGGCAAGAAGGAAGGCACCACGAGACATCAGAAGCTGGAGATAATCTAGCCCTACTGTGTCCCTGTGGGGCAGATGAGAAACTGAGTCTCAAAGAGGCGACATGCCGGCCAGGCGCGGTGGCTCACGCCTGTAATCCTAGCACTTTGGGAGGCCTAGACGGGCGGACCACGAGGTCAGGAGATCGAGACCATCCTGGCTAACACGGTGAAACCCCGTCTCTACTAAAAAATACAAAAAAAAAAAAAACTAGCCGGGCGAGGTGGCGGGCGCCTGTAGTCCCAGCTACTCGGGAGGCTGAGGCAGGAGAATGGCGTAAACCCGGGAGGCGGAGCTTGCAGTGAGCTGAGATCAAGCCACTGCATTCCAGCACTGGCGACAGAGCGAGACTCCGTCTCAAAAAAAAAAAAAAAAAAAAGAGGCGACATGCCACCTCTTAGCCATAGGATAGCTACTAGCAAAAAAACAGAAAAT